AAAAAAAAAAAAAAAAAAATGTTCACAGCAGCTTTATATTTAAAAGCCAAAAACTGGAAACAACTTAAATATCCTTCATATCCATCAATGGAGAAATGGTTAAAATTGTGGTATATCTGTACCATGGAATAGTATTCAGCAATAAAAAAGAATGAACTATTGATACATGCAACAACTTGAATGGATTTCAAAAAAATTATGCTGAGTGAAAAAACGCCAATCCTCAAAGGTTATATACTACATGATTCCATTTATATAACATTCTTGAAATGACAAAATTATAGAGAAAAGGAACAGAATAGGGATTAGGAACTTGGAGAAGAGGGAAGCGGATGTAACTGCATAAGCGAAGCACAAGGAATCCTGTATCATGACTGTGGCGGTGGTCACATGATCCTGCACGTGATGAAACTGCACTAAATGTGCATGCACACACACAAATGAGTGCATGCATGACTGCTGAAATCTGAATAAGGCTGATGGACTGTCAATTCATGATACTGCAAAAATAGTTATGCAAAATGTTACCACTGGGAGAAATCAAGTGAATGGTATATGAAAATATATTATTTCTTAGAAGTCATGTAAATATATAGTTATCTCAAAATAAAAAAGTTAAAACAAAAGAGTGATCCAATACACAAGGGTGGGCAAACGTAGGTTTTCAGTTGTGAGTACGTGAAACAGTTTATTATTATAATCCTAACCTGTCTTTTTCCATACAAACAACTGCAAACCTACTTTTGCCCATCCCTATATATATCAAAAGTTACAATCATGATCATAACTTTCTGAACTAAAACTTGGCAACTTCAGTTCAGAAATCATCAGTCATTTATCTACTCAACACCCATGTTAGGCACTGTTCTAGGTGACAGAGATCCAGGGCTGAAATATCAGGAAATATGAAATATAAAAATAGCTCAATGTATGAGAAAGGTCATTGCATCTACAATCACAAATGTGATAGACTCAAATTTCTAACAAAAGTTGGGTAAATTTTGGAATATTGTATGCTCATTAAAATTATTATGAATACTATTTAAAAGAATGGAAAATGCTTATAAGATTAAGGGGAACACAAAATTATTCGTTAGTATTATGATAACTAATGACAACTTGTTTTTATATGAATAAACTTTTATTAAATTTTAGATAATTAGAAAGAATAAAGAAATGCAAGATAAATGTTTTCTAAACATCTGATATTATCATCATCTCTGTGTCATGGTATTTTCACACTTTTGTTTATTAAAAAGTATAGACATTCATTTATTTAAATTTTTTACAAAGTCAAGAACCATCAAATGAAAAAAATAAGTAATGATAAAGTAAATTCAGCTTTTCACCAATATTGGAATGGTTAGGTTCTGAGCTTAGCCCTCTTGGAAAAATGGTGTATGAAGCAGCTGCTGGTTTCCGTTTATTCAAATAAGTCTGAAAATCAGGAGGCCACTCCCTGTGATGACTATACTTCCAGGAAAAGAGGGCAAAGAGCATAGTGGGAAGAGGGAGTGCGAGACAACACTGGGAAAAGAAAAGATGCTCTTATGGAACCACGGGGTCAGTATCATAAATAATTTAGGAAAAAGTCTGGGAAGAAAACATTTGTGTGTTGAGTAAAGTGTGATTAAGGCGAGATAGTCACCAATCCAAGCATGGCCAGATCTACAGAGCACAAAATAGAGTGGGGAGTTTGTAAGTCACCCGGTGAACTCCAAGGCCAGCCACACCAGGTAATTAACCACAAAAGGAGTCTCTTTACAGGGGTGTAAAATGCATTTGGACACAACTGCAATCCTGAGCTCTTACAAATCCAGGGCAGACCCTCCCAGGAGCATATCCAAAGACACATCCTTTGCGTCTCAGTATCATCTTTCACAAAAATAGTTATTTTGAAAAAAACAAAAAAACAAAATCCAGCTCCTGCCCTGTAACAACCTACTAACCTCTACTTGTCAAACAAGGAGCAAGTTATCTCCTTCGGTACAAAAGGCATGAGGTGCTGCCCTCATTAAGGGTAACCTGGCGTGATAGCAGGCGACCTGGAAGCCCTGCTCTGAGAGGCCGCCAGGAACGCCAGTCCCTTAGACCTCCTGCCTTCCTGCTCCTGCGCTGCCCCCCCAACCTCGCTCCTTCATGACGGACCAAGTGAACAGTCACTGAACATGGGGTTAACGAGAGTCTTTTCTTTCCTAGTCCAATGTCACCCGTGTATTTTTTTTTTTTTTATAAAAACCAATAGTTTTCTTTTAAAAAAATACTTTCCCAGGAAAAAATGAACAGTAATTGTCGTGGGCCTGTACCAGGCCCTAGAAAAACATAGACAGGCAAGAATCTGTCAATAGAACAATATTCCAAATGTGAAATTCATGGTTCAGAAATAAATATGAACGGGCTTCTCGAAGAAGTTTCTTTTGTTTTCCCCCATTTCTTACTGAATTTTGCCTATGTAAAAAGTTCTGATTCTGTGATACAAGAGCCAGACAATATCTGTTGGGACAAATATTAACCATTCATGCCATTCACCCTCTCATGAAGAGGGAACGGAGAGGCAGGGGATATTCCAGGATGTTCATTATTTTTTCTAAAGACACCTATCTTTAAAATAACTCCATTATTTAAACTCCATCTGGCACTTGAGTCTCTTGGAAAATTATTAAGTTAGGCATGAGCTAAAAAACAAACCCGTCTGGACTGCAGTTTAGATTTTATGTGCTGTTCTGTTCTTACATCATTTTCTTGGCTTGGCACATCTTTGAGATCCAGCTTACTGAGTAGGATCCTGAGACATCTGTGGTGGGGAAACAACGAGTCTTCAGGACAGAATATTCTGGTTCATTTCACAAATCTCAGTGGCAGGTAACAGCATTAGCCTCCTTCTTTGTGCTCTTTACTGGTATCATGATAAGGAAAGTGTTTCTTTCCCAGCACACCCACCACACCAGCCCCCTGGTAGGGGGCACCTTACTGGTTCTTTTCTGAGCACTCTATCCGCTTGTGTCCTATACAAGGGATCCGGCCCGACTCTGGGCTGGCACCATGACAGGGACAGCGCCAATTCGCTCCAAGGTTGCTTGGCTGACGGTGTGGGAGTGTGTGTGCTGAGGCCGAGGCTTCCTGCTCACCGGGCCATTATTCCTGGGCATGACCTGCGGCGATGCCCCTCTGTTGGCTGTCACTACCAGAGTCTTATGTGGAGCTGGGACCAGGTGGGTCCCATTAGCATAGATGGTGGGTATGTTGGCATTGCCTGAGCGCAGGGAGAAAGACTGGCGCAAGTCACTGAAGTGGTTGAATGACTCTGTGTTTCTGTGAGCTTTTGGATTGTTGCTCCAGTATCGACTGTTGTAGGTATTGGAGGAGGTCAATGTATTGTTCTCGGAGGAGGACATCTCGGTGTGAAATGCTTTGGCAGAACATTTAGGTGGAAGATCATCCTCTCTGAAAAGGAACAGAATAAAGCTGTCATTAGGATTCCCTTCAGATTTACCCTACCAGGACTCTCTTCTATAATAAGGCTAATATGTCTGTGAAAAATCCTCAGGAAAGGCCATGGCAGTTATGGTGGCCTTGGTTCTACCATTCATTCTCTTTGAGACACTACCCAAGAAAATTTTCCTCAGCTTCTCAGTCTCCAAGATTAGAAAAGGTCATTTCAAATCTCTCAAAGACTTGCATCTTCCAATATAACTAAAACAAAAACATCTGTGTGTGTGTGTGTGTGTGTGTGTGTGTGTGTGTGTATTTTCTCTAAATAGGAAAATAGTCCATGAATAATTCTGCTGTGCTAGTTGCTATAAAACAGCTTGAAATCAAGCTATGGGTGTGAAGAACTTCAAGAAATGGTTAGAGTTGGCCTGATCTTATTGCACTTTGGGGTTTGAGAAATCACTGTGGTCAGCTGGAAAGTTTTCCTTAGTAATCTTATACTGGGATGAAATCTGTCCCTGTATATAGTCCAAACCTTAAGAATTAGAAGAGGCTAATTAGAAGTCATTAATTTAAGAGGTCAATTCATTTAACATTTATTGAGTATCATTCCACTAGATGTTTCATGTAAAAAAGACACAGCTCTGATAGCCAAGAAAACTATGGTCAAATGGGGGTGACAATCCATATAAGAACATCTGCAAGTCTGCAAAGCTAGGCAAAGGGCTAAAGTCAATTTATGTGAGGAGGTGATGCCTAGACTGGTCTTTACTCAGAGCAAGGAATTTACTGAAGAGATGGATGAAAAGGAAGGAGTATAGCCCAGGAAGAGGGCAGAGGGACGAACAAAGTCCCCGAGGCCTGAGGGAATGCAGAACAGATTGGAACGCAAGTGATAAGAGAAGTGATGGGGGGTAAGACCAGGGAAGCAGATGAGGGTCAGATCCTGAAGGGCTACATGTGTCATGCTAAGTAGACTACAGGCATAAGTCATGAAGCATTTTCAATAAGGATGTGACATGATGCAATCTGAAACTGAGCCTGACCCCCGTATCCCCACAATATGCCAAGAGTCACTTTTCTTTAAAGGTCATTTTGACATTACTTTCCTACGGTGTTCATATTATTGACTGAACTTTCACACCAAGCCACACTGCTCTGGCCTATCTGTGCACAGGTACTGGTATGCTCCTATGGTATTCCTTCGTGTTCTCATCTATAACCTGTGTCAACGTTAAACACGTGTTCTAATCTAACTTTTCTATCGTGGCTGCCACCTAGCCCCACTTAACCCTGGAGACGTGGGAGGGAAAGGGGATATTCTTCACGTGCGTCCTCCTAGTCCTTCCCTTTCACGATCCAGTGAATAAAGCTGACTAGTACCAAGAGGACAGTGTCATCACATGCAAGAGAATATCAGTTAGCCATTTTAACTCTGTTGGCGATGACAGTCATAAGACTAGCAAAGAAATCTTAGCTTCCCAAATGACTGGACATACAGACATTGGCTGAGCAGGACAAACGATCTGACACACACCTTATCTCATTGGGGATTTCTTCTTCTTCCTCCTCTTTATTTTTGCTTCTCCAGTAAAAGAATGCCCCTAAAATCAGTGCAATGCAAAATATGATAATAACTGCCCCAGTGCCAACGGCTCCAGCTATTAGTCCAATGTTCCTGGGTTGGGCTGCAAAATATATTTAAGGTATATTTAAAGAACAAAAAATAAAAGAGAGAGAGAAATAGTATATACCTATGCAACTTTATAAACGTAAGTTTACTAAACAATCTTCTTAAAATGTCCAAAATTGCCTAATGTATTGCATCCATATCAAGTTAAACCCCACTTAACTTTCTGTGTCCCCAGTGGCCTGGACTGACACACAGCGGGCTCCCAGTTATTTAAGGAATGATCAGCTACATGACTCAGCTTCAGGAGGGCCACACCTGCAGCAGAGCAGGAGAAAGACGGTGCCTGTCTAACCTGCCTGATCTGTCCCACAGGAACCCAGCGATCAGTGGGCTAGCCTGTCACTTCATCCCAGACAGAGCATCTCTTTTGCTACTGGAATTCAAGTAACCCAGAATTCTCAAGACAAGAGAAAAATTCTACACTGCTTACTTATGATCAGGGCACCCAACAATTAAGCCAATATAAGGGGTTTGTAGAAAATACAAGGTCTTATCTTGGCCATGGCCACAGAGCACTACAAATTGTGTAACGTCTAGAGCATTATACCATCAGAATTGATTTGATTCTAATGATTCTGAGGAGAAAGTTTTGTTATAAAGATGACGTCTTATTGCTGAGGCTGAAAAGTATACTAATACATTTATCAAATATTTTCAATAATGATTAAAACCAAATGGATTTCTATTTAATCTTCAAACAATCTTAATAAACAATTAAGTATCACCCTTCATTCCCCAGTTTAACAAAGCTCTTGGCGTGTAAGACCTAGAGTGGACATCAGAACTGTATATACTTACGGGAGACGACCTGGAGATCCAAAAGGCAGGTGCTGGTTCCTATGGCGTTAGAAGCCACGCACTGGTACAAACCTGAGGACAGCGCACTGATGTTCCGGATGGTGACTGTTCCTTGGACCTGGTCTGTCAGAAAAATAACAAGCAAGTTAGGATTTAGGGGGTAAAATAAGAAAACCAAAGAAATCAGCAAGAGGTAAGACCATAAAAAGAGAGAAACACTGAAGAGGTATCCAGAGCTTTCTTTTTTCAGAGATTTTTTTTCTTTGGTTTGTGAATTTTAAAGACTAAAATCGTGACCTCACATTCAAGATCTGGAGATACGCAGGGCTGTTTGCGCAGCTGAGGCAGAGCAGAGCGGGAGCCCGTCTTCAGCAAGCACCAGCCTGATTCTAGCCACAAGCACACGGCCCTTTCGGAAAGGAGATGGGCTAATTCCTCCATCACTTGGCCGGCTCTGGCATGGGAGCAATTTGTTGAAATGGAGTTAGAAAATGAATGTTCTTTTTACCTTCTTTCTTTTAAAAAATAGGGAGAGTTCAACAGGGTGGAATCACAACTTGAAAGCACAAATGGCATCACACCCCGCTCTGCTTTAGTTTGCAGCAACACTGTATCCCACACAAGCTATGCACCGTGCTCTTCAGAATTAGAGAAATAAACGTGTACGTTTCCACTTCCAGCCTCTCCTTACTTCCAGGCCACTTCTGGCTGTGTTCCGACTCAGCCAGCCGGGCTGCGGCCTGCCCTGCCACCTACTACCCACGTGGTCCCGAACCTGCAGCCTCCTCTTCCTCTATGTGTTCGCTTCCTCACGCGTGGCAGGGAGCTCCCAACATCATAGGTCACATGAGGACTAGATGAGGCCATGTATGAAACGAGCTTAGCACAGTGCCTGACAATGCTTCCCAGTGGGAATTCCTTCCTGGCGCTGCTTGGGAAATTTGTATTTTTCTGAGGCATGAGAAAAACCAGTTCAGAAGTTGGGAAAACCCTTGACTGTCTCCAAATTCCCAACAGATATCAATACTCAGGATTTTAGGTTGACAGACAGAAATTCCTAAATCATAAAGCACTCTATATTTTTACATGATTTATGTATTTTTAAATAATAATGAATGACCATAATAATAAACAGTGAGTCATTTCTTCCACAAAAGTTTCGGAAGTATTCTATAAAAAAATAATAATTAATACATGGTTTATTGTTATTTGAACCAATATACTATGGCAAAATTATATATTTCAAAAATATGCAAAACATGATCTCAAACTGATACAAACACTTGATAATAAGAAATAGTAAAAATAAATGCCAAATTAAAGTCTATTTAAATGTTCAAAGATAATATCACAAATGCTTAATATTTAAACTCTATTATCCTAAAAGAAAAATTTAAAACAAATACAGCATTAAGCACACTATTCAATAGTCTTGATTTTTGTTTCATGCCAAATTTCCCAGATGCAGAAAATTTTATTTCATTTTTATGTTAGTGTTGAATTAAGATAAAGATGGAGAATGGACAGGGAGAGCGCCCGTATCAATTAAGAGAATGTCCAAAGCACCTTCAAGGCAGACGTTAGGATACATGCCGCTTCGTACTGGCTCATTTCCTTGACGCCAATATACATAAACTTAGACAAAAAAGAAATTTTCTAGAAAAACAGATTCAGAAAAATCTAAATAAACCTACACCATTAGAGAAACTGAATCAGTAGTCAGAAATCCGCCAACATAACGTAACAGCAAGGCAAAGCTTTTATAGGCAAATTCTACGAAACAATCTGATAATCTCTATCTCATTCATACTGTTGCAGAAAATAGAAAAAGAGGAAAAGCTGCCCAACTCCTTTTGAGACCAGTGGATAATTTGATACTAAAACTGAACCAAGGACAATGGAAGACAGGAAAATCATAGGCCATTCTCACTTATGATCACAGATGCAAAAATTCCACTAAAATATGAGCACTCTGAACGGAGCAATTTGTTTAAAAATAATCACAAGCAGATCTTATTCCAGAAACGCAAGGATGTTGTCTGAAAATCTATTCATGTAATTCACTTACTGACATTTTGGTCTGGATAATTCTTTGTTCGGGGGGGCTGTCCTGTGCATTATAGAATGTTCAGCAGCAGTCCTGGCCTCTACCCACTAGCTCCAGTAGCACCCTCCTCCAGCTGTGGCCATCAAAAACGTCTCCCAACACCGCCCAGTGAAACTGTCCCTGGCTGAGACTCCTGATGTAGAGGCTGGTGCACTGGCTCAAGCATTATGCTTCCACTTGGTGGGACCTGCGCCAGTGGTACAGCCTTAGAAGCACAGACCAAAGCACTACATTTTGCTTGAAATAATATCAACCTTACATACAGTTTTCACTAATCTTAGAATTCAAAAGTATGATATACCACAGGAATAATACTGAATCCACTCTATTATTATTCCTCCATATGAAAATGAAGCGTACTCATCTCTTGAGTATCCACATATGAATTATATGAGGACAACTTTTTGGTAACTTTTATTTTGACATAATTTTAAACTTACAGAAAAGTTGCAAGAATACCACAAGGAACTCTGTATATCGTATATCATCTACTCAGACTCAACAACTGTTCATATCTTGCCCTATTAGGTTTATAATTTTCTCACTAAACATATAAATATCTTTCTGAACCATTCTGAAAGTGAGTTGAAGACATTGTGCCTATTTAATACTAAGTACTTAGTATTTCCTAAGAACAAAGACAATCCGCACAATCACAATACGACCATCCAAGTCAAGAAATTTAACACTGATACTACAGCATTATCTAAGCCACAGTTTATACTCAGATTTCACCAACTGTCCCAATAATGTCCTTTTAAGCTATCTTTTCCTCTCTCCAGATTCTAATCCAGAATTCCGCATTCCATTTAGTTGTTTTAATGCCTTAGTCTCTTTCCGTCTGCAAAGGTTTTGTCTTCCCCTTGGTTTGCTTGATGTTTCCTTTTGGTTGGGTTCAGGTTATGTGTTTTTAGCAGGAATACAGCAGCAGTGATGTTGTGTCCTTCTCAGTGCATTATCAGGAGGCACAGGATAACAGTTTGTCACAATATTAATAATGTTCACTTTGATCACCTAGTGAAGGTGGTATCCACCGGGTCTCTACTATAGTTACAGTTGACCCTTGAACAAGGCAGGGGTTAGGGGAGCTGACACCACCCCCCAAGCAGTAGAAAATCTGCATATAATTTTTGACTTCCCAATAGCCTACTGTTGACCAGAAGCCTAATGGGTAACCTAAACAGTCAAGACATATTTTGTATGTTATATGTGTTATATAAGGTATTCTTACAATAAAGTAAGCTAGAGAAAAGAAAATGTTATTAAGAAAATCATAAGGAAGAGAAAATACAATTATAGTATTTATTGAAAAAAATCTGCATATAAGTAGACCCACGTAATTCAAACCCTTATTGCACAAGGGTCAACTGTACTATTTTTCCTTTGCAATTAATAAGTAATTTATGGAAACATATTTTGGAACTATGTAAATATATTGTTCCTTATCAAACTTTTACCCACTATTTTGACATCAGTGATGACTTTCCTAATTCCACCATTCCTTCTATATACTTTATCAGGCATTCTACTGTAAGAAATGCTTCCCCTTCTCCCCCACTTATTTATGTGTATCAGCACAGATTCAGGGACTCTCATTTTATTAAATGGACTATATATTTATTTTAATGTCCAAATGGTCTCAGATTTGGCTGGAAGAAATACCTCCAAGCCAGCCTCTACATACAAGGACAATGCTAGTCCCCAAATATTATGCCCCTGTCACTAACCAAACATCTGGGGCACTCTCTCCTGCTGTCAACTCTTTTCTCAGAGAAAGCATACTGAGCTTATATTAAGCAACTGCAAACATATTAGTAAAGTAAATCTTCTGAAAAAAATTCTAAGTTACTTTGGGATTAAGTGCTATTTTGAGATCTACTTTATTAATGTAGCTATCATAAAGTAAATTTAAATTAAAACTCAGATTCATTTAATGTGCATTATTATTACATGAAATTATCTAAAGTAATTCTGATAACTAATCCAGAGTTTGAATTATAAAAGACACATTTTCATCTTTGCATTCAAGTTCTCTTTTATACCTAAAGTACCAAAGAATATTCAAGTTGCAAAGAAAATATCAAAAAATTACACTGATATATATATTTATTGAAACAAAGATATAGAAGGCTCTTTCTATAGATGGTTCACAACTTGCAAACAACCACTTTTAATTGTTCATTTGTAATTCCAAACTCAATCCAGTATTTCGAAGAAATGTTATAAAATAAACCATAAAATCTTAAGACTAACAATATCTTCTTGGAGATACTGTTTAACCCCCTTATTTTACAAAAGGTAACACAGACCAAAAGAAGTAAACTGTCACTGAAAAATCTAGAATCTGAATATAATTTCAGGATTTGAAGGCAAAACCTATTTTAAACACACCACTTACAATGGTGATTAACAAGTTAGTGCACAAATAAAGCCATTTAGCCCACAGTGTGGCTAAAACATTTTCCAATAAAAAAATCAGTAGAGAACAACAACATTGCATTAATCATTATTAGAGTAACCCAGGAGATATTATGTTGAAAAGAAATTTTTTTTAAATAATGATATTTGGGCTAGGTTAATAAAAATGATGGGCGGTCCATTAATATTTCTGTTGGGATACTGAAAGAAAATTTACAAACTCTTTCAGAGGTTGGTGGTCCTGGTTCTTTAATATGTCTAATTTCACCATACAACTCAGGACTTTCCTTTTCCACGATTCAAACTTCTCAGGCATAACTAAGGCTGTTTTAGACCTCTCCATTACCTGCCAGCTATTTAAGATTGTAAATCTGCCCTGAAAATGTTCTGTACTATAGATGGTGCAACACCTGAGACTGCTAATTTTTAAAAAAATTGATTTTATGTATAATTCTGTAGTAATTCCCCTCATTTCATTTCATAAATTTTCCTCAATTTTTCAAAGGTGTTTCCTTTAACATCAAATATAAATAGCTGAACTTACATGTAGAAAACCATCAGCGATACTCATGCCTCCTCCATGTTTATCTGCCTGGTGTGATCAACTCCTGGGTGATCTGGGCGCCCTTTTCCTGTTCTCTTTCCCATCTTCCTCCTCTAATCATAAGTGAGGCTGAGAACAGCCTGATGAACCCTTTCATGACCATGCTGATGTTCCTCATACTAAAATAGGCAGTTGTGTCTCAAGTAGGAAGCGGATTCTCAGTTATAAACTTTAAGGATTATCTTACAATTAACAATACATACAAGCCACCATTGAGCTATTTTAAAATCTTCACCATACCGAAACAGAATTTCCCTATATAGGTACCTCTGGATAACACACATTTCATAAAATCAGCAATGAGAACATATAATAAAATGTTTTATTTTCTTCATAGTTGAAAACACAAAAATGATCCAGATAGCTTTTTCAGCACTAAGAAATATGGTGTGTTATTTTCCACAATAACTAATTAAATGGGTAAAGCAACACTCTACATACCCTGAGTGGCTGTTGGAGGTAGCTTGAGGGTGTTGTCTAACTTCTCCCAAAGGTAAGTTGGTCGAGGAATGCCTTCCTCTGAGCTGCAGAGCAGGATGACATCACTGCCGATATCCTGGGATCCTTGGATTTGGCAGTGAGGGGCAGAAGGGGGAACTATCATAGGAAGAGTAAACAATAAAAGTACGCAATCACTATCAGCCAAAGGATGACAGAGGAGACATCTAACACTCAGTACACTAGAACCTCACTGTTTTTGGAACACATCCAGGAGACTACCTGAGTGAAGCCAGTGGATAGTCAGGTACTATTCACAGGGCTTGGGCATAGGTGCAGGGCCTGCAACTTCAGTTATCAGGGAGCAAATATGTAAAAGGGGCTACGCTCTCTGATAGCATTTTCAAAGTATCTATGGTCTTGGTTTCACTCTGTTTCCTCTAAAGAATTCTTGAGATCCTTTGTATCAGCATATCGCCTTTAAAAACACTACTGAACACATGTCACAGCAGCGTTATTCACAGTTGCTAAAAGGTGGAAACACCCCAAGTGTCTACAGAGGGATGGGTGGATAAGTGAAATGTGGTACGTGCACACAATGAAATTATTATTCAGCCTTGAAAGGGAAGGAAATTCTGACACGCGCTACAACATGGATGACCCTGGAGGACATTATGCTAAGTGAAATAAGCTAGTCATAAAATGGCGAATAATGTATGATTCCGCTTATAGGAGGTATCTAGAGTAATCAAATTCACAGAAACAGAAAGTAGAACATTGGTCTCCAGCAGCTGGAGGGACACTGACATGCTGTTTAATGGGTATCCAGTTTTAGTTTTGCAGGGTGAAAGGAGTTATGGATACTGGTTACATACCAGTGAGAACATACTTAGCAATACTGAACTGTACATTTAAAAATTGCTAAGATGGTAAATTTTATGTTATGTGTGTGTTACCACAATTAATTTTTTTTAATTACTGAAAGAGCCCACTTGTACAGAAGATATCTCGAGGAAGAGCAACCACTTACCCTGCCAGCTACTCCTGGCTAAGATCACTTAACAAGGCTCTTCATTACTTTACAAGCAAGAGCCAGGCAGCCCCACTTTATACCCGAACTGCTTTGTGGTGGGGGAGGTTTGGGTGAGGTTGACGTCTACCTGCTGCTTGAAAGCAATACAGTGCACATTTTCTAATCATGAAGGCAGATAAGGTCATAAAAATTATTACAAAAAAAAAACAAACACTAAAGGAAGAAGGTGGCGATTCATAGCAAAAAAAAAAAAAAAAGCAAGCAAATAAAAATATAAACTAATCCCATGGCTTGGAGTCCCATATTAGGAAATGCAGGTAGTGGAGATTAAATCCAAGTAACGATATACTTGTAATGCTGATGGCTTTTCAATAAATGTGTTCAATCTTGTAAAAATGAATGAGTGAATGAATGAATGAAAAAAAAATGCAGTATATAAAGGAACCAGGAAAGAAATTGGGTGGAGGAAGAGAGTAACCTACAGGTAGGAGGAGTGAAAAAATCTCAGGGCACCCTAACTGCTATGATGGGATAAACCAATTTCCTTAGCTTACTGCCTTCAACATTGCCACTGTGATTCTATGAGGGGAAACCGAAATAATTTATTAAGTATAAATTAAAGGCTTTTTTCCTTCCTTTAAAATAATGAAAAAATAAACTTGGATAATGTGGGAAGCTAGTTACCTAACTTACTGGTATAAGAATCAGAATAATATTAAATTCCAATAATATTCAGTACTCAGAGTATTTTAAAGTCTACAATTTTAATATATTAGAATAAATAATACTTCTAGGGTAGAAACCCCTAACCTGGTTCTTATTCTGTTTGAAAACTGGGAGGACAAGGCACCAAGGCTCTAGCATACCCTCCCCTCAAAAAGAAAAATGGCAAGAACCCTGGACACTTGGGCCCTCAAGTGGCTCGATAATGGAAGGAAAGGGAGAGAGCTTGCCAAGGAGTATGGGAGCAGGTTCTGAGACTTGAGTAGGATGAAGGGTCATCAAAAGCATCAACCTTTTCTAGGTACTTCTTTGGTCTCCCCAAATGAACTGAACTTAGCGATTTCTGCCCTACGTATCCATTTCAGAGGCAGCATTTTCTTTCAGAGACAGTGGAATTGAGAAATAAAACATGTTTGGAATGGATTTAGTTAAGTATTAGTCTGATTTGCCAATATAATGAAAAGAATACTGGTTTGAGTAAAGAAACCTACATTTTAATCTAAACTTTATTGTGGTTCATTGTTTATATAACCTTGGAAAAGGCCCTAAATCTATTTGGTCTTGGTATTAAGACCAAGTCGATCATATAACTTATCATTTAAACAAGGATACTTTTGAGAGTGAAAGGAGGTATTACTAAAATTAGGCCAGGACAAGAGGTGGAAACCAAGAACTGTGGTGAGCCTACTGAGTGTTACACAGACATGAAGTAGCAGCTAACTTACTTTCACATGTGCTGAAACTTGTGCTTCAGACTCATAATACATAATTCCTGATTTAAGTTGTTCTCAAGAATAAGTTCTATCCTGTAAAAACTTTAGCAAAGTGAGAGGCCACTTATGACGGTATTTTATACCAACTTTGTCCACCTTCAGAAAAAGTCGCTTAGGAAGTAAACTTTAGAGAGCGGCCTGAAATGGGGCAGGGGTGGGAGACTAGCAGGCGTGGAGAGGCAGAGTCAAGGTGGGCTGAGAGGAGGGAAGACAGGACACAAGCAGACTGCAAGCGCAGGACAGGCAGGAGTAAGCATGCTTGAGAGCAGATTCATAAGTAAAGCCCAAGTGCTTGGAACATTTGCTGTTACTCACCTAAAACTGTGAGACCGGTGACCCCAATGTTCCTGCCCCCTCTATCCGGAAGGTTGTTAACCAAACACTGGTAGGTGCCTGTGTCTGAGAGCTGCGTGTTGTTAATGAAGATGGAGACATTGGTGGCCGGCATGGTGCCTGCAAATCCTACCCTACCATGGAACTGGGGGGCACCATCAAACGTCTGTCCCCCCTGATACAGAATGACCTGCAAAGAAAGCAAAGTCTATTAACTGGCCACTGCACCTCCTTCTGGACATGTAACAATAACTATCTAGTAGACAGGAGACTGCACCAAACGTTAGAAAACTTTACTTCTAACTTAAGAGTTGTCACCAAGTTCTTACTATCACACCTGCCTGTAAGTATCTAATGATTCTAAATTCTTACATACCAAATTGGAGTAACACTGTTTCTTTGCCTACCTCATCAGAATACAGAAAATGTCTTTATGCTATGCTACTATCAGCCCATAAATATTTTTACCAGTTTAAAAAATTGGTTCCAAATTTAAAAGTTTTTAAATCAGCACTGCTATTCTCATGCTTACTAGGTCACAAAATAACAGATCACAGTTAATGACAGAATATTAATGAATGCCATAAAAGGGAAGAAGAGTTGTAAGCCAACGACTGCTGTTTTTATATCAATTTCTATTATCAGAGTTAACTATTCATGGGAGGGGACTCAGCAGTGTTGCAAAAATCCCTTTGGGCTGAGAGTGAGGGACTTGGTTCTATTCCAGCTCTACCAGTAAATGTTTGGGTAACCAGAGTCAAGTCTTTCTGTGCCTCTTTGATTCAATCACTGACTCCGAAAATGATGAGGTTGAACAAAATGATCTCAAAGGCTCAGTCCAATTACAAAAGTTCTATAGTTTAAAGAAATACAAGAAGTTCCAATTAAATATATCTATTTGTTCACCTACAGAAGAATGAATAGGAGGTTATGTCTTCACCCTTTCCTAACCACCCAAATCCCTTCAGAAAACTTAGCTTTTCAAATATTTTTAGGTAGTAACAAACTTATTGAAGCAGAAAAGCTTCATAACAGAAATAAGTTAGTTTTGGGAATGAAGGTATAGTCATAATCACAATTCATTAATTCTCTGAGCATTATTTTCTGCAGTGGTTATCACATATTATGGGTCTTTTACCTCTAAATGATATACCTTATTAGGTAGCAACTTCGACTTCATGTATCCTAACTTATTTGAGACCCCAGTATGCCTGGCTGGCTTTATTTTAAAATACTTGTGAAGTTACCCAAGTAATTCAAGTACTGCTTTATTAATATTATCACCATCTTTAAAAAGTATTTTATCATCCACCTATGTTAGAGTTCTAGTCCCTTACTTTCAAAATATATTTTGCTTTGGTATATATTCAATTTTGATATTTCCTGTCAGTGATGTTTTTGGATGAAACTCTAGGTTCCTACATAAAATTCTCAGAAGAATTCCCCTGCCATCTGTTAAACTGTTTTTAAATCTCTTAAAAAGAGGACAACTTCTTCCGACAGTTGACTAATCTGCAGGAGCGGGATCTAAAACAGCGAAGGCAGCATACACCGAAAGTGCCACCTTTCTCTAGAAACCAAACACGTCCTCAGGATGCCTTCCGACCCGCCCCCTCTGAAGGGATTACTATTCTAGAGGTTGCATGGGGTGGAAGTGAAGTACCTGCTCAGGTTGGTTGGCATTGGCCAGGGGAATGACCATCCAAATGACATTGAGGTTAATGAGGGCAGCGCTGGTGGTGAAGGTACAGGGCAGGACTGCGGTCTGGCCCCGGGCCACCTGGACACTCCCAGGGCTCTCTGAGACCTCCAGGGAAGCCGCAACACCTGCAGAGGAGCCAACAAGAGGTTATGTGCTCAGCCTCTCCTGGCAGAAAGGCCTGTGCGTTTCACACTATCAGTGATGTAGACAGACTGATATGACAGTCTTCTTAAACGGCTAGTGACCAGTCACTAAGTCGAAGTAATAGAAACTGTTCTTCCCTTTCTTTACCTCTTAGTAACTATAAATGAAAAATAATAGCGGCTACTTAATTCTGTTTTGTAAGATTCTAGTTGGTATCTGGCCAGATTCAAATATAACATGGGAGAATTCAAATGCCAGGGTTTGAGCAAAACTTGAAATGGTGATGGGAGATGAAAAATAAAGCCGAATTTTTAAAAAGCATCATTACATCAGCACGGCTATAAAATTAAATGTCTATACATAAATCTAACAAAATATGTGCAGGAACTATAGCCTGCAAACTATAAAATGCTGATGCCAATAAATCAAGTAAGACTAAATAAATGCATAGATATACAATGCTCATGGGCTGAAAGTTTCAATATTCTTAAAGTGCCAATTTTCCTCAAATTGATCTGTAGATTCAGAGCAATCCCAGTCAATATCCCAGCAATTTTTTTGTTGATATTGACAAACTAATTCTAAAACCAAGAAAAGGGAAAGTGCTACAATAGCCAAAAGAATATTGGAAAGGAAGAATTTGGAAAATTCACACTGATTACAAAATTTGCTGTAGCACCACAGTAACCAAGACAGTGGGGTACCAGCCTGAGGACAGACCACCAGATAAATGGCACAGGATCGAGAGTTCTGAAATCAGCCCTGTATTTAGGTCAAGTTCGTTTCAACAATGCTACAAGACAATTGAATGGGAGAAAGAATAGTCTTTTCAATAAATGGTGTTGGAACAATTTGATATTAATATGCCAAAAAAAAGTAACTCAGACCCTTGCCTCATAGCACACACACAAGTCAACTCAAAATGTACCACAGACATAGCCCTAGCCCTTGGCTCAGTTGGTTGGAGCATCCTCCATATACCAAAAGGTGGAGGTTAGATTCCAGGTCAGGGCACGTACCTAGATTGTGAGTTTGATCCCCGTCAGGATGTGTACAGGATGCAATCGATAGATATTTCTCTCTTACACTGATATATGTTTCCCTCTCTCTTCCCCCCTCCCCTCTCTCTAAAAAGAATAAACATATCCTCAAGTGAGGATTTTAAGAAAATGTGCCACAGATCTAAATGTAAGAGCTAAAACTATAAAACTTTTAGAAATAAACTCTGTGACCTTGGGTTAGTCAAAAAGGTCTTAGATTTCTCACCAAAACCATAAATCATAAAAGAAAACAATTAATAACTGGACTTCATTAAAATTTTTAAAACTTGTGTGATTCAAAAGATTTAAATTAAAAAAATAAAACACCAAGGTACAAACTTGGGGGAAAATATTTGTAAGTCATATATCTGATAAAGGACTTGTATACAGAATATATAAAGAACTATCACAACTCAATAATAAAAAGACAAAGAACCTATTACAATGGGTAAAATATGCTCAACATTATTACTCATTAGGATATTGCATATTAAAACCACGGTAAGACACCATTACACATCTACCGTAATGGCTGTAACCAAGACAAAACCACGTGCCGACAAGGACATAGAGGAACCAGACTCCTCACTCCCTGCTGCTGGAAACGTACAATGGTACGGCCACTGCGGAAACTGCTTTCCGTTTCTTAGACAGTTTAAGATAAACTTACCGCACAACCTGGCAATTCCGTCCCTAGGAATCTACCCAAGTATAGCAAAAATATATGTCTACACATAGACCTGTCCTGTGAATGTTCACAGCAGCACTATTCATACCATACCCCCAAATGGAAACGATACTTGACTGGTGAGTGGACAAACAAAATGGGGAATGTCCATGCAATTAAACACTAGAAGGAAAAAGCAACAAGCTACTGATACATGTTACAACGTGGATGCTGAACCCTTCAAAAACCTTTTGCTAAGTGAAAGAAGCCAGATGCAGATAGCAGCATACTTTACTATTCCATTTATATGAAATGTCCAGAAAAGGCAAATCTATGGAGACAACATGCAAATCAGTGGTTATGCGGGCTGGACAGGAGGGAGGAGGGACTGATGCAAATAGGTTCAACAGGACTTTTTAGAGCGATGGAGAATTTTTAAAACTGGATTGTTATGAAGGTTGTACAACTCTATGAATTTACTAAAAACAATTTAATTTTATACATTAAATGGGTGAATTTTGTGGAATATAAATTATACTTCAGTAATACTGTAAAAATTCAGAAAAAGCACGGATTTAGCAGAGTCAGCTCCTAGGAAGCCAAAATCAACTGTTACCTCTTCTGAAAAGAATGCCTACCCCCCAGGGACTACAGAACAAAATGGGACTAACAGGAGATTAAAATCCAGCAGGGAGATCCAACAGAGAAGCTATTCTAATCATGAAAAATACATTAGGTCCATGGCAGTACCTCAAACTGGTTTTTTTTGGAGTTGGTATTATCCCAATTCTCCCAAAAAAAGTAACACAATAAAATACTGTCATGATTACATTGAGTTTAAAAAAATAAATGTACATAACACCTTCATTCTCTAGAACTTCGTGTTCTTCATATATAGCCTGATGATATTCTCAGGAGTTAAATTTTCAGAATAAAATGTTTTATAAAATAAGCCATCTGTGGTAGACTATAAAGCCCTTGATAACATCAGGAAAAGTCTCTAAGTTAAATGACTTTAGGGAATGTCTCTAAGTTTTAAAAGGGAAAGCTGAAAGAACCTCAGGTGTTAAGAGGCGGAAAGGGGAGGTAATTTGATCACAGAACAGGCCATGAACAGAAGAACAAGCTACATCATTGGGGAGAAGTGAGTTAAGGGAGTGTGTGTTACCAGGATTATTATAAATGCCATGGAAATGTTTCTACTGGTGACAAAACCCCCATCATTTCATTCTTCAGATAATACCCCAAGGAAGTGAAGGGAATATGTCCCCCTTAACCTACCAGGAGAATGACTACTCTCTACCCTCAGTCCACTCATTTCGAGCTGAACTCACACAATCTCTGACACAAATTTTAAAAAGAAAAAAATGGCCAATATAAACCAAGAATGAAAGAGAAAGACGTAGATGGTAAAAAGTATCAAAATATGGCAGGATTTCAGTACTGGAAGGGAGATTTGCAGGATGGGGGGGAGCTGGGGAAAACAGCACGTCGGCCGGCTGGCAGCGAGCCATCCCCTGGGGTGGGAGAAGCTATGGAAGACCGACTTCGACTGTTTACCTCACTTCTTTACCTAAGTTTAATCCTGAACTTGCCAATATCAAGAGAGCCACAGAAGAAATATTCTAGATAAGCTGCTTTTGGAACTTGTAAAAGTGTAGGTCTGAAGCTGGACAGATCTAGTTTGAAATCTGGCTCTTTCACCTATTTAGCTGCGTTGCCCCAAATAAATCTCTTAATCTCTGGTTGTTGCCTCATCTGCACAACAGGGCTAAATACCACCATCGCGTCATCGAAAGGGAACGATCAGGGCAGTACCAGATGCTGGTGGCTGACCGTGACCACTACCGCTGGGCTATTGCTAGCTAATATTTAGGGCACACTGACCAAATATCAGGTCCACATTAAGTATTATATACAAACATACACACACACCCCTACATTTAATCCTACATAATGTATCTTATCCCCATTTTACAGAAGAAATTAAGGCCCAGAGAGAATCAAAACCAGCTCAGGGTCACATGGCTCAAGGTCACATAGGAAATGGTAGGGCCTGGATTCAAATCCCAAGCAGTTTATCTGTAGAGATCATACACGATACCACACATAACTAACACATAGAAATCAGTCCATAAATGTTATTATCACTACTATATGACACAATCACAAAGTTTAAAACTACTATGGGCTTTTCTGTAAAGCCATCAGATGGAAACCCCCTCGGCTTCCTGCTTCCAAACCTACAAATCAGCTTGGATCTGCCTCATCTGCTTCCTCTCTCCTGTTAGACTAAAGGAGCTCACCCACGACCAACCTCGCATCTGAGCGTGATTTATAATCCAGCCTCCAGGCCTCCTTAGCAACCTTATCACAGACTGCTTCATAACCTTCTCTCTTGTAGCTTCAACCTCTCCCACTGCACTGGAGCCTTCCTCATAGCATTTAAACATCCTCAAGTATTTCTACTTTTTAAAAAAAATTCCTCCCTCCCTCCACTCCACAGTCCTCTCCAGTGACTGCCCTCTCTCTAATATATCGCCATTACTCTTTTTGAAAGGGCTGTCTATACTCTCTCCACTGAAACTCTTCTGTTGTTCAGTCTTCATTACACCCTTGCAACCACCTCTTCTTAAAAACAGTTCTCCCCAGGTTTCTCAGAGACCTCCTGATGCCTTCGTGACTTCTGTGATCATTCTTGGACTCAGTGGCATCTAACAGTGATGACTGTTCCCCCTCCTTCTTGAAACACACATTTCCCTTAGCTTCAGTGATATAATTTACTTCTGGCTTTCTTTCTATCTCTGATTATTTCTCAGTCTCTTTTGCTGTTTCACCTTCCTCTACGTGGCTATTAAATGTTGGCCCTCCCCAAAGGGCTGCCTTCTTATTCTGCTCTCTCCCTAAAGGCTCATCCACTATTATGGCGTCACTTCTTACACATATGACAATGGTTTCCAAATTTCTCTCTCTAACCCAAACCTCTCTTCTTATATCCAACTGCCTCCTGGCCATCGCCACGTAGCTATCTCAAAGGCCCCTCCAGTCAGCTTACTCCAGATGGAACTCTTGGTCTTCCCCTCTGTGCCTGCTTCCACTGTGTATCTGGCTCCTTCCAGGTGTTCCCTACACTAGGGAATGGATCAACCGGCCACCAGGTTCTCAATGTCAATTCAGAAATCTTTCTTGATTCCCGCTCTCTCTCATCAGCTCCCAAACCCTCTCCATGATCTGTCCTCTGTGTTTCCTTGATCTGATCTGCTCTGTTCCACACCCCAGT